TAAAAATACTTATTTCAAATGAAAAATCAGTACTCCCATATGTAACATGGAATGATCCTTAATATTTTTTACTGGAACTTACTGACATATAGAGCAGGACAGTCTGTTTTAAAATGTAGAGCAATATTCTGCCGGTCCAATCAAGGAACTGTATTTCAGGTTGAGAATAATATCCATTCCTCTACTTGGAAAACTTCTATGAATGCTTTATGGTGTGGTAAGAGTTCGTGAGTAGAATTGTTAGGATATAGATTTGTTGGAGCGTGTTCAGAGGAGGGCCACAAAGATGATCCAGGGGCTGGAGCACCTCTGCTACGAGGACAGGTTGCGGGAGCTGGGATTGTTCAGCCTTGAAAAGAGAAGACTTCGGAGGGACTTAATAGCTGCCTTCCAATACCTGAAGGGAACCTACAGGAAGGCTGGGGAGGGACTTTTTACAAGAGCGTCCACTGATAGGACAAGGGGAAGTGAGTTTAAGTTGAAGGAGAACAGATTTAGATTAGATCTTAGGAAGAAATTCTTCAGTACGAGGGTGGTAAGACTTTGGAATGAATTGCCCAGAGAAGTTGTGGATGCCCCCTCCCTGGAGGTGTTCAAGGCCAGGTTGGACGGAGCCTTGAGTAGCCTGGTCTAGTTGGGAGGCGTCCCTGCCCATGACAGGGAGGTTGGATTAGATCATCTCTGAGGTCCCTTCCAGCCTATGCCATTCTATGATTCTGTGATAGATGCATCACTGCATTGGAAACACTGAAAAATTTGCATTGTGAAATTGTGGGAAGCTTTTCCTTCATGTGGGTTGGGAGAGGGCAGAAGACTAGACCCAAAGTCCTGTCTCTGTTGAGTTGCTGTCAGTTACATTATAGTATCTGGTTCATCCTTCACTGTCAAGCCTCCTCACTTGCTTTAGGAGCCCTTTTCTGTGTCTCAGATCAGAGAGAGTCCTCTCTGACCCCTCTGATCTGCCACTCATCTGTTAGAACAGTTCTGAAACCTGAAGGTTATGCTTAGATGCTTGAGCTCATGATACTGCTTAGAGTGATGTTAAGAGAAATCATGCAGTTGCAAGCTCACATAAAGCTCCCCTAGGTAAGTGTTTCTGTCTGATTCGTTTTAGCACTTTTAATTTTATTCACTTGTGTGTGCCTGGGATAATACTTTATTTCATTGCTTTGTCTACGTTATTATATTCAGAGTCCCCTCCCTTATGCCACTCTAATACTAAATTTGATTTATTGGACCCATTGATGTTTTCTATTAAGTTTTTTTTCATGACCAAGTTGAGCCACACTGATAAATGCAATTCAGAAATAATGTGTGTTTTTAATTGTGGTGGTTCTTTTGTTAACCAGATCCAAAATTTAATTATCCCTTAGTGTTACTTTACACAAGTATGTGCAACTGTTATCCTGAGCATAGTAAGAGACCACTAGAAAGTATGAAACCAAATGAGAGGTGGGAAGGGAGGGCAGCATTGTTCACTTCAGAAATTCTTCTTTCAGCCCAACATCCCAAACTTTAGACAGGGGGGGGAAAAAAAATTAAAAAAATCCATATTTGTAGAGTCTTATGGTCAGGCTGAAAAGGCCAAACATTTCAGTCTTCTTCAGGATAACGAGTTGTAAGGATTCTTCACAAACACCCATCCACGAGTAGTTCTTTTACAGGTATTTGATGCCATGTTGCTGAATTCAGCTGTCCTGGAGAGAGCCGCAGATGGCAGTCACCGCTTTCACATTTTTTAGGGTTTCTTTTTCATTTCGAGTGAGATAGTAAGTTGAGTAAGATATAGTAAAAGAATGAATTTTCAATTTGATAAGCCTTAAAGTAAGGATATTGTGTTTCTGAGAGCTATGTTTCTCTGTAGGTCTTAATAGAGGGGTTTTTTTCCCAGGCATCTCTTTGGATAAGTACTAAGGATCTTAAAATCAGGTTTTGAGAGGCCAGTATTACGAGCAGGCAGGTAGGGTAGTTGGACTTTGTAAGCTTCATTTCTGCAGGCCCTTCTTTGCTGAGTTTTAGTGACAAAAAGGAATGAGCTTACCCTAGGATTTTAAGAGCACATATTTCTAATAGAACTTGGCAGTTCAAGGGCTAAAGAAGCATTTTAATCTTTTGTGCCCACCCAGTCTCTATACAAATGTAAATATGTCTGTCTTTAACAATTTGCCAAGAAATGTGGTTTTAATTTGTTAGCAGCAATCCCACTCCCTGCAGCTCTTTCAGAGTCAAGTCACAAGTCTGGCGGTGCTTTGACGTTTTTCTCTGTCGTGGTGTCATTGTTTATATGATGTCTGCTTCTGCTGTCCTCCTTTTTATGCCTGGAATATTTTTCTTTAATTATTTCACTGCCTAAAAGGAATTTGGGATTACTAGACAGGATGAGAGCAGATTAGCTTTTTTTCTTTCTTTAACAAGTCCTGGAGTTCCCATAGGAAATAAATAGTATTCCCAAAACAGACAGTGTTTTTTGTTTTTTTTTAATTAACTAAAATTATTAAGTCTAATAAAGAAAATAAAGGAAGTATCACCAATAATGGCTGAGTGTCTTAGCAGTATATGGAGTGCCCATTGTTGTTATTTATGACTCTCTCTGCCTTCTATTGTGGACTTATTCCAGCCTTAGGGAGTTTACATCACTCCTAATAGCAAAAGGCTCTCTGGTTCCCACAGAGTCTTTCAAAGACTGACTCATATGCCTTATGTTAATTGTTCAGCTCTCAAAATACAGCACTTACAGGGTGTGGTTCCAAGGGGAAAATCTACTGTACTTAGAGGGCATGTTCAGAAGTGTTTCACATATAAATCCTTTTGATTTTTAATTTTTTAAACGCCTTAACTCTTTTCTGTCACTGCATTATGTGATAAGTTTTGTGAAAACAAAATAAAAGAATGACGATGGCATAGTGAGGGAAGGTGTTGGCCCTTCAGCTCTGGACCATTAACTCCAGTCTGGCTCAGCTCACAAGTGACATGACTTTGTCATCTTCGCGTCTCTCCAGGGTCTGCTCTTCACACCCTGGCATGACGGTACGCTCCAGGCAACGATCAGGCACCGTTCATAATCAGATGCGAGTTAGAACTGAGGTTTATTGCTTATCTCCAGTAGCTGAGCACATGTGGACAGGAGCCGTCCCCAGTCCTACTCTGGATTTTGTACAAAGTGCTACTTGCCACGCGTTGCTTACCACATCTACAAGAATTGCCTTAGTGGGCTGGCGATCCTGTCACCATCTGCTGTGTTGAGGACTGAAGAAGATGTAATAGAATTAGCCTTACTGGTTACCATACAGCAGAAATTCAAATACTTCTGCTTGTGCTCCTGTTTTCTGGCTAAGTAAGAGTGTTCTCCAGCTGCTTTGATGCAGAATGGTTGTGCAAGTCTGAGTTATGTGGATGTTACTGGAAATCACAATAGTTTCTACAGACTTTACAGTTAAGAGTCTCTGTCTTCTCTTAAAATTAGCAAAGCTCTTAAGTATCTTAATAATATTCCCTTCTTTAGTAGTTTACAAAATAGGAAAACATGTTTAGTCAAATTAGGGGAGTCCATACCTCTAACAGGAATAGAAGCAGCAATTAATCCCTCAGATTAACCTAGTTAGGCTCGATTTCTGAGGTTGAAATCGCATTGCGCGTGTGTCCCGTGTGTTTTCTGCCTGCTGTAAACACATGTGTTGCAGCATGAGTGGACAGAACTTCATGCATCTGTCAGTACAGGGAAAAACATTTGCGTAATTCGCCTCTGAAAGGAAGGCTGGAAACAGCTGTAGCTTTTTGAAACTGTCGAAATGGCTCTTGCTTTGCCCGACTACCCGCCTCCTGCTCGCAAAACAGGAAGTTGTTTTCACTGGCTTATTTTTCTGGAAAGAGCAGTGAGGTTTTACCCCCTCTCCTTTAAAACAGAAATAAAAATAAAAGCGGGCCGAGCCTAATTCCCCGTAAGTGACAGGTTCCAGAGGGGCGTTCCGGACGCGGGTCATGTACGCCCTTTGGCCCTGCGCCCCTGAATCTTTCTCTGCTTTCTTCAGTTCTTCCCTGCCGCCCGGCTCCAGCGCGCTTCGCGGTGCCGCGCAGGGAATGGTGTAACTCAGCACTCCCTGCGTTTGGTGAGCCCCCATCAGAAGTTGCATCGTGCAGGCTGATGGAGAAAAATGCAATCAAAGAGAGAGAGAGACGCACAAAGCCTCTTCTCTTCTTGACTTTGCGGCGTTTTTCTTCTCTCCTCTCCATAGCCTCAGAGATAATACTTTTTTGAAGTATGTGGTAGTTAATAGTGAAGCCAGCAAATGGCCCTTCTCTCATTGAGATTGTTTCATTGTGAAAGGAAGTGCTCACAGCTTGAAGAAAAAGAGCATTTTCCTTCCCTCCCTCTCGCCCCAATCTCGTATTATATAAAACCATGGTGCTGCTGTTAGCTGAGACCAGAAAGAATTCCCCTGTTGTCCTGTAGTAGCCAACCACTACAAGCTGTGAGCGTTTGGACGTTAGTATTAAAAGTTTTAACCCTTGCCTTCTTAAATGAGCAAATAACACTCCATATTTTTTTTTTTGAAGTATGGAAAATTATGGGAATTCTTCTGAGAATAAGTGTATAGACCGCTGCGCCAGTCAGTCTCTTCAGAAAAAAAAAAAAGCTGACAAACATGCTCCTGTCTGCAAGAGAGATTCCTGGCATTTGTCACAGTTTGAGCCACAAAGATGTCAAATATTTGCCAACAGTTTCCTCAGACGGTTTGGAAAGCTACATCCTTTACATTGCAGTCTTGTTTGTTTGCGGTATATTTTAGCATATGAAATATGTTCGTTGAGAGTCTGAAAGAGGAGGGAACTGACTAGACTCCCAAATATTAAAAGATTAAAAATAATTCTGTTTCTCTTAGACTGCTCAGATCGGAATAATAAAGAACATCTGTAAGTCTTAGTATTAGAACTAGAGTTTTATGTTGAATAATCATAGCTTGATGTGTCATGTTTTAAACCTGTATTTTCTTTTGGAGCAGAAAGAAGAACTTTCCAATGGGACATCTGAATATTTTACTGAATCTGCTGAGGACAAGATGCTTAAGATTAGTCTGAATGAGCAAATAAAGCAAGACATCTTGAAAGAAATGTATGTCACTATTCTGTCTAAGGTGTTAAACTTATCATCTGGTAAAATCTGGGTAAATAAAATCTAGCCTATGTAATCAATTTTCAAATAATATAAACTCCTTTACAAAAGATTATTTTAAATTACTAAGATACTGTTACTCTAGAGTGGATAAGCACATAAAACATAGCTTTTCTCATGCTGTACAAAGCAATTACAACCCACATAGATGTCTCACATAGCGCTAGGCAGAATCAAAACAGGGTGTTTTTTTACTTGAATGAAGCTCTGAGCCAAAATAAATATGTGATGTTTGAATCTGATGAAAAAACACTTTGCCAACATTTTTTTTTGTTGTTGTTCATTTTGAGATTCTAAAGTGTGCCATGTCATTAGTCGGGATTTTTGGTCGCAATTAAAGAGTGTCGCTGGTGTAGTGGAAGGGGAGGGTTAGTTGGACAGCTGAACATTTTGCTGGTCTTCTGCTGTACCAGGATGCCATTCTTTCTTACACAAGCTGCCAGTAGCCCCAAATCAACTATAGACTTGGGGATTTGCTGTGAACCCTGGCAGCTTTTCTTTCTACCCATGTTGTCTCATCTGAGTTGTCTTTAGAAATGAGATGAGATCGGGAGGTATGCCAGCTCTACCTATTTTGGAGGGCCCCCTTTCTGAAGAGTTAGATATGCTGACCTGGGAACTGCTCAGCATCGGCAGAGCGGCAGAAAGCGGTCTCAGCATGGCAGGATCTATAGCAATATCTTTAGACTGGAAATCTTACATAGGCACCTTCAGTTCTTGTGTGTCAAGTTCATCTTACAGCCCGTGTTAAATCTGAATTTGTAGGTAACACGCTGCTGAGGAGCGTTTATGTGCTGACACTCCATCGTGTCCCTTGTGATTCCATTTTCCTGTATAATTCCTTTTAGAATATCATCTACTTGCGTTACCTAAGTCCTTCCCAGATGAATGGGCTTGATGTTAGACGAGTAGTGGTTAACTTTAAAGTAACGCTTTGAAATGTCCTGGGAAAAATTCCAGAGGAATATTTTAAAATAGAGATTAGAAACTCTCACGCAGAGACGCGCATGCTGCCGCTTCCCGTCTGTCCCCCTCTATTCTTTAGATGCACATTATGCATGTGACTATATGGGAATGGTTTGAAATCATTTAGGCACTTATGAAATACTATTTTATCTAGCCGTTTTGGGAAGGAATTCAATATACTTATGCAGTGTTGACCTTTGACATCTGTAATGAATCCCGTTCTGCCTCTTGGAATAGTATGTGAACTCCTTCATGGCTTAGTCATTAATAAACAGGGTTCCCCTAGTGCAGTGGAAAATCAGATGGATAACACTTGATATTATCCACGCTAGACAAACATTACTGCTTGTCAAGATGATATACAAGGTTTTTTTCCTGCATTCGGAAAGAGAGTTGCCCCAGTGGTCTTTCGGAGTTTATAAGAACGGTAAATTGAGGCAATAAAGATACTTTTTAAAATTTAAAATCAAAATTCCTTTTTATTGCAGCATGAAAAGGACAAAAACAAGGAAAGGTGGCACAAGCAAACCTCCAATCAGCAAGGACTCCAAGAAAGTGTGTCTTGGCTCAGTGGACTCACGGACAGGGAGCAGAAAGAACGACTGTCAAACTTGTCCCAATCCTCAATCTGAAGTGAAATGTAGGAATATGGGACAGCTAAAGGACTGCATAAATACAGCTGAGAGCAACTTGGAGCTTCCTGTTTTAGAGCTGGAAAATTATGTTAATCAGAGACAGCCAGATGATGTTAGCAGCCAGCAAAAACCTCACTCTGTGGAATGGTTGAAGTCAAGTCTTCTAAGCGAGAACCCTCCTTGTAGCTCTGAGTCAGCACTGCTGGGTCCAAAACAAAGTCAAAAAGTGACCGAAACACAGGCTCAACAAAAGAGCTGTGGTTCAGAAGAAAAGTTAGAGCATTTTAAAAAAATATCCTCCCAAGGTGGTACTTTAATTCCTAGCAATACAGAAATGAGTAAGTGCAATGACAATTGTGTAGGTCCATTCCCAGAGGTGAAGACCCCACTTAATTCCAGGTTGTTTTCTAAACAAGACTTGGCAAAGACTGTGTCTGATGAGGAGTCACAAACTTTGGGAAAAAACCTTTCCCAGCCTCTTTCTGTGAGGAGCAATATAGTGCAGACAAGTGAAAATGAGCCAAGCACAACCACTGAAGAATTGCCTGTGATGCCATCATCTTGTGTAGAACTGCAGCCTGTGCCTTCAGAGCAGCTTACCCAAAAAAGAAAAAAAGAAGCTGAAAGTGGTCTCAGGAAGTTAAAACTGCGAAGGCTTAAGAAGTCATAAAGTCTGAAATACTACCTTGATGGCATGGGTGGAGAGCCAAGTCTGTGTTCAGAAAGCATATGCAAAAAGTAGGAAGCAATTCAAAATAATGAAAAATAATAAAACTATAAAGTCAAAATTAGATAAAACTTTTTAAGAACATGTAGTTAATTAAGTATTTTAGTCATTTGGAACTGTAATGAAGATAATTCTAAGTCTTTAGGAATTAGACATGCTGTACAAACCAGTGTGGTATTTATAGAAAGAAAAATCTCTTATAAAATAATATTTACTAAGCGTAGCGTTGGATCTATGTATGTTTTAGTACTGTTAAAAAGTCATATCAGCTGGTGACAGCAAAAGTTAAAACCACTTTCGTGATCTGTTAGCAGCTGCAGTTATTCAGTGTTTTCCTTTTTCTGAACATACAGTTTATTTCAGTAAAAATTAATCCCTTCTCTCTCTAGGTTAGGAAATTCACGATTTATTCACATATATTTACTTTACAACAGCAAGGCGAACTGAGGCTATTTCAAATAAATCTTCTACCAGGATTTAATGCTGCTGATAATTTAAGGGCCCACCTTTTCAGAGGGGTTTCAAAATAACTATCATCATACGCGCGCGGTTTTGATACGAGCACGTGTTTCTGTGGATATATCCGAGCAGTGGATACACGGGATCGTGGCGTTCAGTCTTTGGAAAAACGAAGGACTGTTTTTCAGGTGTTAGCGCTACTCAAGTCATTTCTTTTTTTAAGATGGAGGTAATTTTTAACAGCACAGCGCTTTTTGATACTGCTTTTGTAACTTGTATACGAAGGGGCTAAGGAAATGTAACTTTTTATTTCGTGCTTATCTTTTTAAAATGTTGAAAATAAAATTATAAGCAGTTTTCTTTCATCGTTCTCTCCAAATAAGTGTGACCACAGACGTTTTATGTGAAGCAGTTTTGAAAAATCGTACTGGCATGTACTTAGAACTCTGGATATCCTCATTTAGGTGAAGGAGAAGATTCGCATCCATAATCATTAGAGTTGGTAGCGTAATCCAGGTCCTCATGAGAGTTAGCAGCTCCGCAGTTGACCGCAGGACACCGTCAACTGAACAGCATCTTTCTTCTATAAATCATTTCTGCTTTTGCTATAAATGAAAAAGATTCTGTGTGCCTGTTAGAAGACATTTTCTCTTTTTTTTTTTTTTTTCCCCCCAGCCTGTGTGTGTGATGTTTCTCACAGTGCTTTGCAGTAAGGTTGCTAATGCTTACCAATCTTCAGGCTCTGCAGAAAGGTCTTTCCTGGTAAAAAGCAAAACCGAGGCTGCAAATGAACCTGAGTTTGGAGGAAGAATAGCCTGAGGTATGTTTACTGTTGTCTTTTGGATGGGCTTAAGATACTGGGCCAGGAAGGAAGTAAAAGGCACCTTTTTGACGGATTTAAAAGAGGGATAAGGACGTTTACTTAAGTATTTGTAAGAAAAAACAAAGTAATTAAAATAGAATCATTTTACTAGTTTATATTAAATTTCTAGTGTGTGTTTTCTGGATGGCTTCTTTAAGTGCTTGCAGCGAATGCATCGATAAAAAGCAGTACAAGCACATATTCTAGGCTGCAGTTTTAACTTGCCATTATTTCTACTTTGCCTTTGCTTGGATCTTTGTGAGTTTCCAGTGATGTCCTTGGTTGTAACAGATACCTACGGGAGAGCTTTAGGTGATTATGCAGTAACAGACACATGTTGAGTTTACAAAATCACTTCAATTACTTCTTTTCTTTTCATTTCATTCCAGTTCAGAAAAAGACCTTACACTTGCTTTTGCAAACTGGAGAACACCCCGATGGTATCTGTGAAAAGTGTGGATGGTCTCGAGCAAGTACGCCCCAAACTATTACTGCTAACAGTTTGGGATTCTGAAGCTTCCATTCTTCTTATCCCCTCCTCTCCAAATCTTTTAACTTGAGTATTAAAAACCAGAGGGCAACAACGTTGAGTTTGTATCGTTGCATGCTGTTGTTATGTATAGTTCAACCTTGTAATTACAATTTAGTTTTAATTAATCAAATAACATACCTGCATGCACCCTTACAAATGGATGGCATACATTTGCAGGGGGCTTGGGTAGATTAAATCATTGTCTGGGTAGCTGAGAACACTTGGGTTTTTCCTTTCGGATGTTTTGTTACGTTACAGTGTTGTTTTCCATCACCTCACTGATAGCATGGAAACATCCTCTTTTTAAAATAGTGATCTTGTAACAATAAGAAACGTGGGGCTAGATTGGTTAAAGGTTAGAGCCTAGAGATTCAGAAGAAAGACAAGGGGACTTTCTCAAAAGGGGTTAGTTGCATCATTCTTACTGTAATTACTCCCTTGTTAGGTTCCTAGGCTCTTTCTAGCTCTGTATTTTTACAGCTTAGTTACTTGAAAAAGTTGTCTCCTGGATGCTCTCAGAAATGAGGTTATTCAGGGAAAAAGTGTTGAATTCGTGGTCATTTCTGGATTTAAGATGGTGTTGCTGCTCAAAACCTTTCGTTACTTTTGTCAGCACAGCAGGACTACTCTAAAAGTTTCCCTTTTGCAAACCTTATGGGTGCTTGACGTGACACCCAGGCTGTGTCATTACCCTGCGTCTCTGTTATCTCTGTGCTTTAAGCCCAGGGTTGTCTTCTCAGTCTTTGCCTTTTTCTTTATCAACAATCCACCTGCACCCCGACGGCTGGCAGAGGTGTGGGCTGACATGCTCCTGAACTACAAGCCTGATTTCCTGAATGGGGTTGGGGATGGGGGGAAGCAGCTGGAAACTGAGCTACAGTAAAATCAGCAGTTTGCAAGTCTTGGCTGTGGCTTTCCATGACCAATTTGCTTCAGAGCAGCATTAGCATACCCTTCTGTTAAAAGTAATAAATATTTAAGGCTCTGTTCTGAAACTGCCATGGAAGCGCAGAAACAATTTCTTTGGTTCATTTTCTTCTTTTATGTGTCTTTGTTATGTTTTTGTTTTTTTTTTTTCCACGGCTTCTTTGAACTCCTCTGAAATATGTGTAGGTTTGAGACTGGCTAAAGCCCACAGTGCAGAGCTCACTTGTAAGAATATATGTTTATCTTAAAGAGAAATAACTGTCTATTCCAAACCAGCCAACTTTGTTGTTGTTGGGTTTTTTTTTAATGAATCATCTGGTTAATTTGGTCTGTGCTCTTTGCTGATAATGAAACAGTCCTTTCCTAGCCAAACACTTTCTAATGCGTGCAGACTATCGTTTCCATTATTCTTTACATCAAAGTAGTTAAAAATATTTATTTAGTGCACTTTTGTGTTTAAACACACATCAAAAGCTAGACCAGCCTTTTACATATTTATTTATAAAGAGGAAACAGACTGATGTAAAATCTCCCTTGCCCGGTGTTGATCAGTAGGAAGGTCTTCACCATCGCAAGGGTTATTTTGAGTGGTAAGCTTTGTGCTCGGCGTGATGTCATCTGTCAGGTGGCAGTTCTGCACACCAGGGTCCGCAGCGTGCGTCAGCGCGTCATTACGATTGCGCAGCCGCGTTTGAGTTGCGCTTGACTCGGTTCGATTCCAAGAGCACTCGTTTGTAACAAAGAAGGAAAATTTTAAGAGCCAGAACTTTCCTTGCCTACAGGAAGTTCTGACCCAGTGAGGTGTTAAGGAGCCTTCTTGAAGGCTTTTGGTTGGTGGGAACTCCCTTCCCTCGTGCCGCTCTGCACGTGGGTTGCATCGGCTGAGTTTTAACTGACATTTTTATATCGTCGTCTCGTTGGCTTTTGACTGGAAGATGGGTTCTTTTTAAGGAAAAAGATGGAGGAAGTAATTTTTTGCTTGCAGTTGGAATAAGAAAGATGTAAAATGTAGTTAGAATATCCCAGATTGCATGTTATGAGTAGTTATCTCCTTGCCTATGTCAGTATCGAATAAAAGGTTTCATTCTGTGTTAAAACACTCTAATGCAAGCCTGAGAAGACAGAGTTAAAGGTATCAAGAGTCTTGTAGCCAGCAGTGGGAAGTGTGGGTTGGCCTCAGAAATTAGCTTTAATAAAAGGCACTCCTCACTTCTTTGCTTTCTGCTTTTTCCTTCTGTGAGAAGCATTAACCAGCATCCAAAAACCTCTGCGAACGAGAAGACGTGGGATGGGGGAACAGCAGCGCGCCGAGCCTTTCATCAAAGGGATATCAAAGCGTTCTCCTGGGAGGGATATGAATATGCTTATTTGGACAGTTGAGGCAGCACTGAGGGTAAGCAATTCCTTCGAGGTAAAGCAAGCTGGTTAAGGAACTCGTGCTGCCAATTCTTTCATCCACTCATTCAAGCATTTTTGAACACAATTCTCCCATCTCGTTCACCTTCCCCCCCGCCCCAGTAATTAAAATGGAACCTGGTAGTGCGTGACCTTGTGTTTTCCACAGTGGCAATAAGGTGACATTTTTAGAAGGAGACTTGTTAGTTGGGTGGCGTCGGCTTATGCCGAGGAATCGTAAGAGAGTTGTGAAAATGGTGTAGTGTCCCTGGGCATTTCAGCTGTAACCTGGAAATTGTCCAGGGAATTACCCTCCACTGTCCTACCTCCTTTACTATCTATTTCAGTCATTCCAGAGCTGGGAGTGACTCTGTGAGAGCTGACGATGCACCATTTTTGAATGAGAATTTCACTGATTTGCTCCTATTCTGTCCAAGTTAAATCCTTTGGTGTAGCTGAGACGTAGCGCCTCAGCAGTAGGAATTGCTAATCTAGCTCCGTAACTGCTTTATTTGCTGCCATAATAATTATCATTTTGATTTATGCATCAGATCTTTAAAGAAAAGTGTCTTGAGCTATAATTCTAGAGATGGGCATGCCTCTTTTCCATATTAATATGATCTCAGAGTGCTAGAATGAAAAGAATAGAGATTTATTTCTCCACCCTGTAGAGAAACTGGTTGAAACAATTTGCACATCACAGAGAAGGTGCTCACTGGAAGATCCAGGCTGGAACCTCCTGTCTGACACCCTATCTGATACCACATC